CTTAACACTTAGAGGTATGAAAAATAGATAGTAGCCGATTCTCAGACCTACTGAATATGCATATAAAATTTCATGAAAATCGGTCAAGCTGTTTCGGAGGAGTATGGTAACTAACATTGTGACACGAGAATTTTGTTTATAAGATAAGCTTTCAAGTTTTGCGATAACTTCCTTTTTGAATAAGCACGGTGATAGGCAAATAATATCGAGATGTACAGGCAGTATAGGGACGCTATTTTGTGAAGTGGTGCACGTTTTCCTGCATTAGACTTTGTATTTTTGACATGAAAAGGTTTATGTGGGCGAGCATTGTGTATTCTTACAGAACTGCTCGGAGTTCGATAGTAGATGTTATTTGTTAACACACAGCAGTCAAAAAAGTTATGGATATTTTTTTTACAGTCATTATACTCAACATTGTTCTACGAAATTGCGAACTTTGCAAATAACTTGCCATAAGTACATTTCGGCAAACGACATTTGTAGTTAACTCTTTTTAAGAATTTTCTTTGAACTGACTCAATTAATTCATTATATTAGTTATAATATGGATTCCAAACAGTTGTAGCATATTCCAGTTGCGACTTCCCTAGACTCTTCATTAAATGTATACCTATATGTGGCGGGCTTTTTATAATTACAAGATATACGCATGATGAATCCGTACATTTGGTATGCCTTGGTTACAACAGTAGCTACATGATTATCAAGGTGAAGTTCAGAATCAAGCAATACACCAAGATCACGAATTACTTCAATACGAATCAAAACTCAATAAAGTTTATTACGATACCACACTTGTTGTACACCAAACCAGTCCCCGTAGCATGACCACCACAAGTTACAATATAACACGTTTTTTATCGTGTCTAACTGTCAAACTCCATAGTAATTTGACAATTGAGCGTGATAAAAATGTCATATCGCGGTGCTCATGCTAGGGGGACAGGGTGGGTGACTTCTTTTAAGTGTTTACCTGTACCAGAAGGAACAAATTACTTGGACTTTCTCTTAACTTTTTTTACCTAGAGAATAAGTGAAATGAGTTTTATAAACTTTTTCTATGAATGTTTTGAAATTGACTTGATTTTTTTTCACTCAGATGCAACTTATTAAAAGTGCAATAATCAACCAGACGATTTAGATCTTCCTGAAGGTTACTCTTTTAAGTGTTTACCTGTACCAGAAGGAACAAATTACTTGGACTTTCTCTTAACTTTTTTTACCTAGAGAATAAGTGAAATGAGTTTTATAAACTTTTTCTATGAATGTTATTGACTTGATTTTTTTTCACTCAGATGCAACTTATTAAAAGTGCAATAGTCAACCAGACGATTTAGATCTTCCTGAAGGTTACAGCAGTCATTCAAGTTGTGAATTGGTTTAAATAAATTTATCACCCAATGTATAAATTTACATCTTTGTCGTTCTCTTTTAAAGCGTTGAACAGTTTTCTTCCACCATTTTTCGTCAACCTACAGAGTAATTCCCGTGAACTTAGAATCTTGAAATTTGTTACGAAGTAACGTCTTATAGTACAGATAAAGGAAAAATTCGGATTCGGATATTCATTCACCATAAGGTAGCTACATTATATTTTTATATTTTTAAGCATTAATCTCAATAGCCGGCAGGCCGGCAAGGTGAGGATGGTCGGTATAGCTGTTTATTATAACTGCTGTACCAGCTATCTTCGCGTTTGGACTTTATCACCACTTAACATCAGTTAGAGTAGAGTCATTTTTCTACCTCGCTATAAAAAAAATCGTTTATTAATCTACTCGATTTACCAATCTAAATAAAACTTTCATTTGAAAAAAATCCATACTGACAACTTTTCCGAGAAGAAATTTTTCTATTAAAAATTTTCTTTATACTTAACTACATTGTACCCAAGTGACCAAGTCTATATTTTTAATCCCGTTAAAATAAATTTCGCCCGTGCAATGCCGGGGCGGATCACTAGTATAATATAATATTATAGATATGCAAAAGTGAATTTGTTTGTTACACTTCCGCGCCCTAATAGCCAAGTCGATTATGATGAATTTTCCTATAGAAATAGATGGGACCTTGGTTCTAAGTTACATTATCGAAATACTTATAGAGGCAATGGAAGGGGTGATTTACCTATAAAAATTTATACTTACTATTTTCTTACAACTTTGGAGAATTATCGTTTATATTTACAAAACACATTATCGCGAGCTGATTAATAAATACAGGAAGTCAAGTATTTACCTACTAGCCATAATAATAGGTTATTTCTCATTATGATAAGTAACCTTTTAGTAACATGAAGTAATATCGTTAAAATAAACTTTAAAAGCAGTATAATTCTCAGTTTTTCATTAAATTTCAATAATCATAAATACCTATTATGATAATTTATTTTCATCATTTTATAAGAAGGAACCGTATCACAGTTTTATTGTAAGTACTTCGTATAGGAATAGATACCGCGATGAGCAATTTTTTTTATTTTCCTCCTAGCTTTTATCTACGTTAATATACACCAAAATTCATGTTTTTAATTTTGTCACAATATGGCGCCTAATTGTTCCCATATTGAATTTTGATTACTATCATATCTTTAGTAGCACTCGCATCATTAAGAGAAATCGATTGGTGTATCAATCATCAAAATCGGTCCACGCGTTTGGTCTCTAGTGTGCCACAAAGGAACATACACAGTCAGGTCATAAGTATTGTCACACAGTAAAAATTTTTCTTTTAGAATGCTGGCCACAAAAAAGTTTATTGAAATTCAAATTGTTCATGAAAATATAAATGTAAACTTTTTAGAATTTTACTCATTTTTGAATATGGAGTGGACGCTTAAAGAAGACTGTGTTGCAGTTATTGCGTTGCATCGTTGCGGTTACGCGTCAATTAAAATTTTTGACATACTGAAAAATTTTATTATAACCAAAAGATTCATTTATCGTACCATCAAACGATACAATGAATACTCTAGTGTAGATGACAGGTCAAGAAGTGGTCGCCCTCGGTCTGTTAGGACTCATGCCCCTCTAGCATGACCACCGAAACGGGATATGATAAAGCGATTTATCGACATTAACTGTCAGACTACTGTCAAACTCCATAGTAGTCTCGACAGTTAATGCCGATATATCGCTTTATCGTATCCCGTTTCGGTGGTCATGCTAGAGGGGCAGCAGTGATAAAAGTTGTGAAGGCGCGAATTCAAAGAAATCCCAAACGTAAGCAGAAACTGTTGGCCTTTCAGATGGGGTTAAGCAGAACCACACATGAAAAGGGTGTTAAATGAAGATTTAGGGCTGCGGGCATATTGAAGAAAAACAGGACATCGTTTGAATACTCGTCTAATGGACCTGAGACTGAAGAGATGCTGCGCTTTGTTGAAGCGGTACGTGGGAAAAAAATATCGGGAAATTCTTTTTTCGGATGAAAAAAAAAATACGGTAGAAGAGAGCTACAACAAACAAAATGATAAGGCAACCGTATTCCGCGTGTCCAACGAGGTCATTTTCCATCCTAGCTCATGGTATGGTTGGAAGTTTCTTATTGGGGCTTAACAGAGGTACATTTTTGTGAGAAAGGTGTAAAAACGAATGAAACGAACAGTTGTGTATCGAAATACAATCCTGACGAACCTTGTGGAACCTGTTTCTCATACCATGTTCAATAACATGCACTAGGTATTCCAACAAGATTCGGCGCCAGCTCATAGAGCGAAGAGCACACAAGACTGAGAAAATCTGAGAGACATCGACTTCATCCGGCACGAAGACTGGCCCTCCTCCAGTCTAGATTTAAGTCCGTTAGATTACAAGATATGGCAACACTTAGAGGAAAAGGCGTGCTCAAAGCCTCATCCCAATTTGCTCAAGACATCCTTGATTAAGGCAGCCGCCGATATTGACATGGTCCTCGTTCGTGCTGCGATAGAAGAGTGGCCGCGCAGATTGATGGCCTGTATTCAAAATCACGGAGGTCATTTTGAATAAACTTTATTGTCATAAGAATCTATGTTTTGTTAAGTTCATTTTGGTATATAAATGGTTACATAATGAATAAATTTGTTTCAATTATTTTATATTGAACATGTGACAGAATTTATGACCTGACTAGGTACATACATATATAGACTGTTAAACACTATACCCTGTCTGCGCGTCGCGCTTCGCGCTCTTGCATTGCAAAATAAATATATTATTATACTGCCGCGGACTTTTTTGTAGAACTATTTAAGAGATACATTTCTTTTATTGTTTTTGCAGCCCAGAATAGCTCGCATATGGGAGATCTTATCTATCTTCTTAATAATTTATTCTCTATATGTTATTATTATATATGAGCTATAATTATTGTTTAGTTTCATTAAAATCCATTCAGTATTTTTTTGGGTGAAAGAGTAACAAAGGTAAGATTGAAATTAAAAGCGTAAGTGGTTGATATACAACTTGAAATCGTTGTATATCCTAAACAGTCATATTAATGAAAAATGGTGTAACGAATTTAAACATGATTTTCGATTATCTAGACAATGATACCCCACTCGACATATTTGGTCAAGTTATTTTTTTCTTTCTCTCAATATGGCGCCTAATTGTCCCCATATTCAATTATATCTATTCAAGACGAATTGATTGACGTATGAGTGACACATCAAAATCGGTGCAGGCGTTTGGTCCCTAGTGTGCTACAAAGGCACATACATTAAACTTTACATACTGTTAAACACTATACCCTGTCTGCGCGTCGAGCTCACCCGCTCAGCATACATTTTTTATAGCATCTGGAGCTCTTCTTATATTTGACGAATTACAGCAAAACAACGCTCCACGAGAGGCTTTTACAATATAAACTTTTATGGATTAAACTTCAAAACACTTAATAAAAATAATATTTGGTGTAGTGCGTGTCGCATCGCTCGTGCCGGCACCGGCGGCACCTGTTTCAATGATTCGTTTGAAAACATGATGGTGATGGTAGTGTGATATAGACATGTTAACATGGGTACATTTTGGCTTGTTAGGGTAAACAGCCTGTATGATTCTAAATACAGTCAACAGTACATCGTGGAATTCAAAACAAACCGACTTTCTTCTTCAAATTTTATTTATATAAATTAATTAATAATATTAATTTCCGAACAATAGAATTTATTACTCATTGGGAAATTTGACAGAGTTGCTGTAATTTGATATGCTGTTACTTGTACTTTGTACCCGTTCCATTTTGACCACACGCTTACTAGGGGGCGCTAGGGTAATTTTGCTCTATTCATTTGTCTCGTATCGTTCACAAGTGGCCAGGCGCTGTGCTCAACTCAACCAAACTAAATTTATTGAAAATAGCGCCTAACATAACACATTATCAAAGTCGACCTAATACTAGTCTCTGACTAGTATCTAATGAGGCGTCAAAAGTTTTGTAATCATATAGTTACGTCATCCGAAACTTTTATGAAAAGACAACCAGAAGAACTGAAGATCATTCATATACGGGAATTTCGGGAATGTGAATAAAATTTCCTTTTTATTTATATTGTTGTTATGCTGGCTTGGAGCTACAGTTAATCATGTGTAACGGAACGTATGTGACGTCGCGGAGTGGTGAGGAGGGCGCGGGCACACACACGTCAGCAGCACGAGCGCCGCCGGCGCCCGCCCGCCGCCCGCGCGACGCCCGCGCGCGCCCATTCACCCATCAGTGATAAACAAACCTCGTCGGCGCCCTCTTGTCAGCCATGCCGCGCGTTTGACTCGCCGCACGGGTCCAGCCAACCGCCTTCATGCATCTGTGCCTACGATCCACAACACAGCACAAGTGAGACTCGACATGCAACTCTTTAAGAAGTGTAACGTTCGATGCATATATGACCTCGGTGGCCTCTCGTTACAGATGTCAGCCGTCACCGCACGAAGAACGGCGATTCTATCATATATTAGAAAATGACTGAAGGCCCCACTGCCCAACATGACAGACCGGTAAGTTTCCGCATCGTAGTGTAAATAGAGACACGAGCGAGTCGAGCCCGCGCAGGAGCACGGCTCGCACCCGCCTGCCACCGACTGTCAATCATAATGTCAGTGTTGCCATATACGACACGACGTCATTGCAAGGTCAACTTATAAATTCCTTGCCTCACCAAACTATTATTACTCATTTACAACTACTACTTAATTATTTTTCTGTTTCTACTCTACACTTAATAAATGAATTATGAGCTCAGAGTGCACAGCAAACAATATTTTCGATTAATATGAGTTTTATATTATTTTACGTCTTAGAATTAGGTCAAATTACAAACTTACACCAATTAATTATTCTTACATAATGTTATCGGTCATGATTTGATAGAGTTATCTTACATTTTAAACACCTAATTATTTTTTAATACTGGTGTTATTCGCAGTTAACAATTATAATCAATTTAATCAGGAATCTTTCCAGACGTAGATACTTCCCTAATTATCAAGATTGGTTGTGTGTATTAAAGTTGGTATTATAATAAAAATGAAATGAAAAAACTAACCATTACATACATTACATATACGAAGCAAGGTTAACTATAGCTACCAAAAAATACACTCCATGGGCTTAAGAAAAAATAACAAATTCAACTTAAGCCTCTAGATTCGCCCATCAGTATTTATTGACGTCATTCGTACATATATACGGACGCTAAATACTTAAATTGTAATTCATCATAGCAATAATAAAATCAATAATAACAATAATATCCAAAAAGCTCATCATCACAACATAACATAACACAACACATGCTGCACTTACTTGGTTTCGGCCCGTAATTGTAGTAAAAACCAGCCAAAAATCTGAGAAAAAAAACACTATACAAAAAACAATAATTATATTATAATTAATACAATAATGATAATGTAAGGCCTAATAGATTTATTTTCAATTTTATCTCGAAACTCTACGACTATATCAAATACTTTTTCCATAGCTATATTTCTGTTTAGTAAGATTTTACGCGTCCCTATTTTATCTCTTAAAGATAAACCTAAAATACTTTTAACTTAAAAATGTAATTATTTACTATCACAAAATAAATATTAATCTGTCAGTAGTAAGAGACATGAGAAGCATAATAACAATATCATTACAGTAATGTTCTTCCGCGTTACATTTTCCGAAAAATCATTAATTTATTATCGGTCTATTTGGTTTTACCAGTACCATCACTTGATAGATCCACATAAGTACCTACTTAAGTACTTCATTCAATTTTATTAGTAGTGAGTATTTTAATAAATTACCTTTTCATATTAACATAAGGGCACTTGAGTTTTTTTCAATACTTCTCTTATAAATTCAACTGGAAATAATAGTATACGGTAAGTTTTATAAATTTTAAGACTTGGTCCAGTTGTGTTTTTAAGGGTTTGTGTTCACATAAAACACTCCCCCTGACTTCGCATGGGTAATTTTTTTTATCATGTTACGTCAAAATGGATATCTAGAAAAAAATAAAACATATTTATTTTGATACAAACACAAGACAGGAGGCAAAAGATTTTGAACATGTTACGAGATAAAAAACACACACACGCAGAGAGAGAGACACATCGGTAACATTAAGGAAACAACACATAGCACAAAAAATAGCCCAATTTTACTATACACCGCCGCCGCGAATTACTCTGTTGTTGTCTCGCGGCTGCGCGAAAACAGGTTGTCAATTCAGCTTGTAGTCAGGTTGGTCAGGTTTGTGGGTTTGTGGAACCCATGAAGTTATGTGGGACCTGACGCTGATGATTGACGCCTTTCAATTGACACAGACTTTTGTTATTTTGCAGATCTAAGGCCGCCTTGTTTCTTCGATAGTAAAATTTGACTATAGTTAAATCCTATAGAAAAATAACCTTTTGTCAAAATTTTACAAATTTATTGTGTATTTGCATTAGTATAGTCAAATTTTACTATCCATCGATTCATTGATCATACAACGCGATCTTAGCCTTATTTAAGAAGGCCCTGATGAACACATTTCAAATCTAAATAAATTGCAGAAATACCGATAGGGTATTCAACATTTCATACTGCAAACGATTTCATACTTACTAATAGCTCACAGGTCATGTTTTAAAATGAAACTCTTCATTAAAATTAAAAATTAAATTCGAGGACAGTCGAGTTATCTAATAAAAAACAAGTAGTATTAGATAATTTGTATATAAAAATAAAAGGTCACATATTTACCTTAACATATTATTAAACCATTATCCTTAAAAAAACAATATATAAAATGCCTTAATGTTAATCCTATCAAAACTCAGGTCATGATAGTCGGTAGCTCTAGACTATTATCTCAAATTAACTGGACTACTCTTCCCAAAGTTAATTTCGAAGGAACTGACATACCTTATAGTTCAACGGTAAAAAATCTCGGAGTGATAATGGATAGTTCATTGAGCTGGGAGCCACAGCTGCAAGCTGTAAGTCGAAAACTGTATGCGTCTGCTGGTTCGTTAAGAAGACTACGTAACTTTCTACCCACTGCCACTAAAATTATGCTATCTCAATCTCAATTGCTTCCAGTCCTTGACTATGCTGAAGCCTGCTATCTAGATCTTACGGAGGACAAGCTAAATAAACTTGAGCGTCTTCAAAACTTCTGCATCAGGTTCATATTTGGTTTAAGAAAATATGATCATGTTTCCCAGTTTCGTTCTCAACTCAAGTGGCTTCCAATTCGTCGTCGCCGGGATACGCATATACTTTCCCTTCTTTACAATGTGTTGTTTAATCCCTCTTATCCCAATTATCTTAAAGAGCTTTTCAGTTTTCTCCACTGTTCCCACTCTCAGTCTTTACGCTCATCAGAGAATTTGAGCCTTAAAACTCCATCACATAATACCACCTTTTATAAATATTCTTTTTGTGTTCAAGCTGTGCGCCTCTGGAACTCTCTCCCCGTTAACATCAGACGTGCCCAGACGATTGGTTTATTTAAGAAGCAGATTAAAGATTTTTTCCTTTCACAGTAGTTGTTTGTGTTGTTCCAACTGTATGTATGTATGTATGTATGTGTATGTCTCTCTACTCATTCATTTAATATTTGTATACTTGCATAGAAGATATTTGAGTATGTTTAATCGTGAATATTTTATTGTAATTATTTTTATTTGTTATATTAGCACACCCCCTCTTTTATTAAATTTCATCTCTCCATCCTATGGTTGTCTGGCAGAAATTGCTATATAGCGATAAGACAGCCTATTGTTCACTATTTTAAGTTTTGTCCTTGTGTGTAATATTTAATGTGGTGTGCACAATAAAATGTTATCTATCTATCTATATTTTATACTGTCTTTAATTTATTTATTATCTAATTAAGGTCCACTTGCAGTAATTTTGCGAAATCGCAATTTAACTAAAACTTGATTAAGCCAATCCCACAATATGAAATTGATATTTTCAAAAATTTCTTTGGGATAAAGCTAGTTTTAGCTGCTGCAAAGCAAATTTGCTGTAAGTTTGTGAATAAATAATTGCTAAATCTCGATTAATTTAAACTAGATTTAACCTATACAAAAACTCTAAACGTCAATGTAATAATGGATTCTTGTTTGAGCTGAAATAGAAGAAAATTGTGTCTTTTATTTATAAAATTGGTGGGCTTTTTATGTCTTTGATTATTTACTATGTATAAAATTTAAATCCAAATTTCAATAAATCTTCACTTTCTTTTAATTTTGGATGTAGACTAAAACACAGTTCTAGTTCTTCCCCGGTCGAGAGTACAATTGCATCATAATGTAAAACTCACTTTTAACCGCGGAATTCGCCGAAGTGATTTGAAATTTATTTGAAATTCATACTTATTTTAATTTCAAATCAGGTGAAAGGTGAGTTTGTTTTTACAGAATAGGACATTGATTTTTATTTGACGACGAAAAAAGAAAATTTTAGTAAGCATTTTCAACTTTTCACCAAAACGAAGCATTTTTTAGCTAACTAATATGTAGTATAGTTTATAGATCTTTTGAAAGTTTTCTTCTGTAGTATTTTTTGCATTCATTTCATTCGATCGGGGTCAGAATTGCCTTGAAATTAAAATCGCGTTCATCAAATTACGTACAGTTTCTATTCTAACCAGGTCTACCTACCAACTATAAAAAAAAATGGTGAACTTGTGATTTCGTGTAGGCGGTATGTTTCCGATATAAACTGCACTGTTTATTCAAAACAAAGGAGTGAGACGCTATAAATAATAGAATTAACAGCTTCTTTACTTAGCTTTTTACACGCCTGCCCACAAAAAGAGTGAAATTAAGTGTAGTGTAATTAATTTTGTGTAGTGTAATGTTTTCAGGGTTCATGTACGAGTATATATACCGTATGTTTCGTTATTCCACCATAACTCCTAAACGCCTGAGCCGCTTTAGATTTACCTATGCGGTATCGTTATAATCCTTTCGCCATCCCAGGTGACATAGGATCTTAGATTAAAACAAAAAGGGAAGATACGGCACTCGCGGCTCAATAGTGATCCACTTAAATTTTGGTGCATGTGCCGTTTGGTGTAGAGACTATGTGAACATGGGGTACAAGCGCTCGTTCCTTTTTACCCGGCTGCGCAATGCAAGAGCGCGAAGCGCGACGCGCAGACAGGGTTATTTAAGGAATTATCTAAGAAACTCACATAGGTGGCTGGTGATCAAAAGGCTGGTAGCTACCTTGGTCAACGGATCGGCCTTGCTGTCCAACGAGGAAATGCTGCCAGCCTATTGGGCATCATTCCTGACGGCGGCAATAGGGGCGATATATTTTTTATTTTGTAAATTTGTATTTATTTA